TGGGGTCTAGTGGGTCAGAGTGGGGCGGGGGAAGGCTGGGAGTCCGGACTCCTGGGTTCTGTCCCCAGGTTTGCTGCTGAGTCAGTGTGTGACCAGAGTCAGCTCCCTTTCCCCCCTGTGCACTGGGGACAAAGGTCCCCCCGCCCCCCGTGCTGGGACCCCCCGTGCTGACTGTGCACCCAGCACCTCTGGGGGGAGGCGGCGCCAGATGGGCAGAGGCCAGAGCAGCCCCCTGTTTACAGAGCCAGCTGGGTTTGCGATGCTTCCCCGGCCACAGCAATCTGCCCGTCACTGATGCAGTGACGCTGCCTGAATATGCAGAGAGCCTGATCCCATTGCTGGGGGCGGGAGAGCTGCCCTGAGTGTGACTGACTCAGCGACGCTGCCTGAGTCTGCAGAGAGCCTGAATCCATCGCTCCAGGAGGGAGGAGTTGCCCTGAGTGTGACCAACGATGCCTGAGTGTGCAGAGAGCCTGAGCCAATTGCTCTTGGAAGGGGCAGCTGCCCCGTGGGTGACCGATGCAGTGACGCTGCCTGGGTCTGCAGAGAGCCTGAGCCCAATGCTGGGAGGGGGAGCTGCCCTGAGTGTAACTGGGGTTACAGGCGAAGGAAGGATTATCCCATTTTACAGAGGGGGGCCTGAGGCCCACAGGCTGGGATTGTCAGAGGAGCCCAAGGGGCTTAGGCACCCCCTTCCCACTGAGTTTCTCACAGCCAGACAGATTCAGTGATGGCCCAGGCAGGAACCGAACCCAGCTCTCCTGAGCCGTAGCCATACACCCGCCAGCCCGGGCTGTGTGCCCCACGGTAGCGCCGCTCAGCCGCTCCCTGTGGGGCGGGGACACAGCAGCCCTGGACTGGGGCACAAACCAGGGAGGTTTGTCCCCCAGGAAAAGCTGTGGGGGTCGGGGGAGGGGGGCTTTGCCTGCCTAAGGAGCCCCCCCCCCCCCGGCTGTTTAAGGAGCTGGGCAGATGCTGCAGTTCCCGTTGGCAGGTCCGAGCGACCCGCGGGGTGACCTCAGCTCCCCGCTGGCTGATATGCAGGGGAGCCAGGAACGTGACCCAGTGTGTGTGTGGGGGGGTGAGATCCAGGTGTGGGGCTGGACGGGGCCGGCTGGAAAGTCCTGTCTCACAGCAGCGTCAGGGCTCAGCTCAGACCAGGCCACCTCCTTACGGAGTGTGGGGCACCCCACAGGTCAGCTGTGCCCCTCAGTACAACAAAAAACAGATGGCAACTCTGGGAGCAATGGGGCAGGGACCACACGGATTCCCAGCCTGGATGGAGGGGGGGATCAAGGAGATACAGAGCGGGGGGAGAGAACCCAGGGGTCCAGGGTTCCCAGCCCTTCCCCCTGCTCTAACCCACCAGACCCCCCTGCCCTCCCAGAGCCAGGATAGAACCCAGGCGTCCTGGCTCCCAGCCCCCCTGCTTTAACCACCAGCCCCCACTCCCCTCCCAGAGCTAGGATAGAACCCAGGCGTCCTGGCTCCCAGACCCCGCTGCTCTAACCACCAGCCCCCACTCCCCTCCCAGAGCCAGGATAGAACCCAGGCGTCCTGGCTCCCAGAACCCGTTGCTCTAACCACCAGCCCCCACTCCTCTCCC